TGTATACAGAAGATATAAATTATAAATATATATAAATATTAAATAATGACGCGAGAAAAGACGATAACGGCAACAATAACGTTAATTAATTATTATTACCAAGAAGAGATCGAAGTATATAAATATATATATAAATACAACCTGCATACATGCGTAACACACAAAAAAATACGGACACCTGAATATACATACTATTACTTACACGGCCGCGGGAGATATACGTATGTAGATGTATATATGTATGCACACACGTAAATATAAATATATAAATACGAGTTTAAATCAAGAGAGAAAGAGACAGAAAGAGGAAGAGAATCAGACGGCGAACGGCAGACGCGAAGAAAAAGAAGTTGCCAACGAAACACACGAAGAAAGATGATAAATATATAACTAACGATCATTTAAATGTCGATAAACGAATTAACAGAGGATCGAGGATTATCGTGATTCGTCCCGCAACCACTCGAAGATGCACATTCTTGCGGACTTCATAGCAATCGATGCATATACATACACGTATACACGTTAAATCAAAAAATATACATATTTTCATCTTCCTTTGTTCTCTTCTGTGTGCTTCCGCCTTTGCTTTTGCAATCCTATACATTTTGCCACTTTATCAATGAATGTCGCTTCGGTATGCATACCGCACACTAGTCCCAGGATAACAAGGACGAATCTCCTTGGCGAGAAGCACTGGAGGCGAAGAATCATATCATATTCGAGTTAGAAAAGAAGATGAAAAGCCTTCAAACGGAGCACGACAAGTGCAAAGATTTGTTGAGTGATGCGAACAACAATGAATCCTGGAAGGAGGAAGTAGAGGCGAAGAATCAACGCATTGTCCAGCTGGAACGGCAATTGATATATTATGAGGCCCTAAAGGATGACACGAAGCATAATAGAATGAACAAGGATATTAAGACGAGAGCATACAAGAATCGGCAAACCCTTGAACAAATAACGGATTCAAAAGAATTTTCTAAGAATCATGCGGAAAAGATGATAGAATCTCGCGAAAAGGATAACGATGAGAAAATGAGCGGAGAAGCGGAGGAGTCCTGGACGCAGGAGATCGAGGCGAAGAATCAGCGCATTGCCGAGCTGAAGCAGGAAATGGCATTGCTGGAAAATTTTCTGCGGGAAAACGTGGACACGCAAAGGCTGCACGATCTCGAGAAGAAGATCGAGAGAAAATCCAAACGAACAAAAGAATTGGAGGATGCTGTAGAGGAGCTCGAAGGCTTTCTCAAGGATAGCGTGAAGGAGATACGCGATCTGCATCACCAAATGTCGTTTGACAAAGAACGTATTGTGATGCTGGAGAAGTGGATTCAGAAGAATAATCTCCTAAATGTGGGGATTGATAAAGCAAGAATCATAGAACTGGAAGAAATGGTGACGAATCTGGAGAACTACGTCAAAGAGCACAACGTGGACAGTCTTAAGCGGACGCTGCAGGATCGAGAGTGCAGAATTAATCAACTGGAAAATCAGATCGTTGACTTGGGCAAGAAATTATTAAAATTCGAAAAAAATCAAACAGGTAAGTAAAAGATTTACTGAAATTGCTATATTTTTTCTACATCCTATTGATTGCAAAAATTGAAATAAAATAAGAAAACAGTAAAAAGAAAAACAAAAAATTAAGTAATAATTTTTATCTAAAATATTACGATTAATAAATTTGCTGAAATATCTGCGTTAATTTTAAAAATTGAATATTGTTTTTCTAGGTTTTTTCTTAAGGATTTTTAATTACACAATATATTTACCGAGACATATACAATATTTATTTATAATAAGAAACATATCTTAAAAATTATTTGTAATAAAATAGAATAGAATTGTATATTATTGAATCTGTGATAATTGAAACAACGTATATAAACATTAAACAGTTAACATTGGTAGGTCACATATATATATTTGTGTTATTATGAAAACTGTTACCAAAATAATTTACCGCATACCGCGAACACATTCAGTCTATGTGCAGTCAATACTAGAATCAGTTTAATACACGTCGTATAAAATTTATTATAAAATTCATACATTATTTTTTTTATTGAATTTTTTTTTAAATCTGTGACCATAAAACATTTTCTAATTTGTAATTGCGTTATTGTTTTATTACATTTAGTCAGTGATACGTTAAAGAAAAATAGCCTGTCCGACGACAGAGTAACTTGGGAAATACAAAAAAAAGAAGAAAAAATAGAATTAATGGACAATACTTCAAAAGAGGACTTTGGAATCCAACAGTGCGAGCAACAAAACAAGATCCTAGAAATAGAACTGCGTGAGAAGGAGCGAAAGATAAAGGAGATGGGACACGACATTTCGGAAAAGAACAATATGATCCAGGAATACGAGCAACAGGTCGTCGAGCAGCAGAACAAGATTCTGAAAATGGAGAAAGAGATAACCGAGTTGATGCAAAAATTAGACGCATCGGAGAACGTTAATGCATTGAAGGAGAAGATCAGAATAAGAAACAAGAGAGTGGAGGAACTGGAGATAAAGGTCGACTCTCTGGAAATTTTATTCGTCGAGAGAATCAACGTTGCGATGAAGGAACTAACCGCCACCTTAAAGGAAAAGGAGAAAATAGAATTTCAATTGAAGGAAGATCTCGCGGACAAGAAGCGCAAGATAAAAGAGTTGGACATGGCGCTTTATCAAAACATCGCAGTCACGAATGAGATCGAAAAAAAATTCACATATGAGAAAAAGCTCAGGAAAGAGGCCAATCAAAAAGTAAGTAAAAAACTTTTACAATTTGACTGTGTAATTATAAATAATTATCACTTTGATAAATATGCATTTTAGGTCACCTCGCCGATTTTGTCGCCATTTAGATATGTTATAAGAGAGTTTGTTCTGAGTAATTCCCTACAAAAATCAAGTAGAGGACGGCATTGGTTTAGGAGATATAACAAATTAAAGTTTCACAATTTTAATGCTTCTTTAGATATTATATAAACTGATATTACGAACAATGAAATAAATAATCTGTTATTATTTGATTAAAAGAATCTGTTTACAACTTTTACGCGTGGGCAAAGTACCTCCATCCCAACAAACTCTAACCTAACTCAAACCTAATTCTTTTTTTTTTTTATTACTTTTGGAGTGCTTTCAACTTAGCTCCTTTAGTAAGGTTTTTTAGCATCTAGAATTCTTAACTATCTTGTAACTAGTGATCAGCTCTTGCTGTTGCTTTAACATATTTCATTCCTTTAGATAATTCTCGTCACAACAAAAAACCTAATTCTGATTAGTTAATTGAAATTAGGTTTGGATTAGGTTAGGTTAGATTTTTGTAGGGAAGGGAGGGGTGCAGGGGGAGGGGCTCCGCCACATTTTTCGTCATCTTTTGTGTCCGCGTTGTTCATACTTCACAACGTGACACATAAAAAACATACGCTCACGATTTTAATCAACAGTTGTTTCACACCGTGAATCGTTTAACATGGACCGTGAATAACTTTTCGATCAACGAGAAAATCTAATAACTTATTGTTATCTTCAACAAGACTTAGAAATTCGTGTAGTTGCATGTTGAAAGCTCTTAATGAACTGCGAGAAATAAGTAAAGCCGACTGTTGACAAAATATCTATGTATCAACTAATATTCCTTTTATTGTAACCAACTAATTATCCTTTAAAAAATGTAAACAAAAACTTTACATATCGTGTTTGTATACAAACACGGCGTATAGAAACTTCACTGTTCATAATATCAGTTTATAACACTAGAAGAGCATTAAAATTGCAAAACTTTAATTTGTTATGTCTCTTAAATCCCTAATGCTGTTCCCCACTTGATTTTTACGGGAAATTACTCAGAACAACCTCCCCTACAACATATCTAAATGGCGACAAAATTGGTGAGGTGTGATCTAAAATGTATATTTACCACTACTTTTGCAATGTTAAATTTGTTTCAAACATGCATTTAATTTGTATTGAAAAATTATTTTCTATTAAAAGATATTAAATTATTTTATATAATATCTATTTTTATATCAGAATATACTTTTTTATATCAGAATATCAAAATTATAATTTTCGATTTTTATTTATTTAATTACTTGAAGAACGATACAATGATGTAAAATAATATTTTTCAAAGAAATTCTCTGTTCTTTTATCAGATCGCTGAGTTTGAAGATAAGATTACACTTATGCATACTTTGACTACAAAATGCATCACATGTCAGCCGCTCATTGATAAAATATTGAAAACTGAAGAAGAGCTTTTCCATTCGAATCAGGAAGAGATCGTTGAATTGGAAAAACAACAACAGACAAAGTACGTTCTTTAAATTGATTTATTCATTTATTATTGATAATTTATTATCATTGTAAGTCTATAACAAGATATTAAATAAACAGCTTGATCAGGATAATGTATTTTATATTAAATAATTATAATATTATTTTAATAATTTATTCTAATAATGTGCGTGTGTGTAGGAACGAATCTTTAAAAACTCATATTGAAAAGGATACTCCTCTAGTTCTGTTGAATCATACGTATAGCAAAACTTCAATGGAAGCAGAACAAACGGAGAGATTAAAAAGTAATGAGAAGATATTGTTTGTATAAGAGGAGGTAATTAGAAACTTTAACGAATTTCTCATGATATTGTATAATAATTGAATCGCTGATACTGATATTTTTTATATTTTTCACAGAATGCAAAAAGCATCAAATTGGATTTTGGAGGAACAATAATGCAATTAGTTATAAAATTGATTATGAATAGAAGACTTAAAATATTCAATGATAATGACGACAGCAGTGACAACAATAATTTCTTTGACGATCATCTTATCAAAATCAAGACGACATATTGTGGATGACGACAGTTTACCAATATCAGCTGCTACGAATTAAGAGCATTTGTAAGTTGCAAATCATTTTTCTTTTAATCAGAACGTTGTAAAAACATTTAAATAGATAAATAAAAAATAGGACTTTTTGTCTTTTGTTGAAATTTATTTAAAGTATTAAAAAGTTAAAAAAAATCATGTGCAAAACCAATAACTTTTAATTTAAAAAAATATAACGTACATTTTATAATATTAATTGTTATTTTCATAAAATTATTATATTTTTTCTGACAATTTAAACTGTAAAAATAAAAACTTACACATTGAAAGTGGCGACAGCGTTAGTCGTTGCTAAAACAAAACCGGTATTTATTAAGTATTTATTAAGTAGATCTAAAATAGAAAATCACAACATTTTGCAGAATAAAGTCGTCGATGGTGTCTGATTTGAGAAGCAAAGCAGATCAATTACAGAATATCAGCAGGATATCGGATAAGTACTCGAGACCTCTCACGGTATTTCAAAGTATCGGTCCCTTCGTTATCTCAATGGTGTACGCATATACATCCGCGAATGTAGAGGCAGTTTGTAGAGCATCTTTAGAAATGTAGCGAAAAAGAAAACAACAAAACGAACCAACCACAGCAAAATTACAACACAACAACAATTACGCATCATATATCTATATTCATCGTCATCATCATCTTCGTCATTATTCTCTATTAACAATATATCTCATTATCCACCTGATACGTCCAGCATGAAAGAGCTAACAAGATTTTCAACCAAAAGCTAATTCTTCAAGGTGCTGGTAACTGATAGCTTATCAAGTAAATAGGATCCGATAGTTTGTGGTGGCTGAAACAAAACATGATGGATTCATAAGATGGTTTTGGATGAATAATCCAGAATATTTGTTGTGACCATTTATCTTCTTCTCCCTTCGACAACTTCAGCGATATTTAGATCGTTGTGGTATCATAATTTGTTATCGTTGCAATAATACATTGATATGCGTATTTGTGCGCTGACTTGTTGTTTATTATATAATTCTTTGCAGCGCAATATACATATACAATATTATTTTAAAATTGACGATTTATTAGAAGTGCGTTTCTTACGTTTATTTCTTCGACATATTTAATCCTAAGTATATGTGTAGTTCAATTAGCGCTGCAAAGAAAGAAAAGTTAGACTAACAGATGATTGAAATAATAAAAAATTCTCAGAACTAACAATTTTTTATTTTTTGAATTTTAATGTTTTATAAAAATTTATTAAAAAATATTTAAATACTTATAAATAAAAGTTTGGTTTGCATCATCAATGATCATTCTGATTTGCTTGAATAGTAATGAGTTTACGTACATCAATATTTCTTAAGAAATAAAATTAAATTTGAATTAAATTATACATTTCCTGCCATCCTTTTCCTAGAAACAAAAAAAAATAAGATAATTAAAATAAAAATTAATAAAGAAATTTACATTTTATGCTGAATTTATAATTATTAAAATTAGAGAATAGCTTTATTATTATTATGAAATTATTTTCTGCTTTTTTTTATTTTCATCCATTTGTTTAAAAAGTTATAGTTTAATTTTTCTTATTTCCTTGCGCAAAATGAAAAAATTAATGAAATAAGAGGGAAACAAGTAAAATATAGCGCTTCTTCCCTTTATGAATTGCTTATTACACGGGTCCAAAAAACATCGTTGTGTAGCGAAGAGATTATTAGTTCTAGTTAAAAATATAAAATAAATGAACGACAAAAGAAAGATTTTTAAGATACATAAAACATTATAAAATAATTTGTCGCAAACAATATGCTGCGACTCTGTCGTATATTCTGAGAGATGTGCTCTTTATGAAGAAGTGAAACACAAAGGCATATTAGATATATTGAAACGCCGACAACAATAATGAATACTAATGTGTGTTAAAGCTGATATTTTAAAGATTAATCAGAAAAAATTTACGCAGAAAAAATGATAGATTACAACAGTAACAATTTATTTTACAATTGTTGATTATTATAGTGCTTTTCTTAACTCTATATATTATATATATATATATATATATATATATATATATATATATATATAGT